CGGCACGGCGCGGGGGCCTGTGGACCCAGGGCTGCTGCAGGCCCAGGTGCAGGAGGGCTTCGGCTCGCTGCGGCGCTGCTACGCGCGCGGCGCCGGGCCCCACCCCCGCCAGGCCGCCTTCCAGGGCCTCTTTCTGCTTTATAACCTGGGTGAGTCGGGGACCGGCGATGGGGCAGCGCTCAGGGGCTGGGGGCCCTCCATGAGGACAGTGGATGCCGGGGAAGGGAGAGCCATTAGCTCCCTCCCGGGGAAAATCAGAGGTACCTCGTAAATGTGTGTATCCAGTCAAGATCCCAGAGCCCCGATGTGTGGCCTCGGGCCTGCCCCTTCCTTTTTCTGGGTTTCCGTTTTCTCGGAAATAAAAGTGAAGACGGAGGTATTGGAATGGGGAAGTTGGCCTAGCTAGTGGTTTTCAAACTTTTAGCATCTACTCCCACTCAGTGTTGCAAAGCAGCAAAGGACACACATGTATGCCCACGAACATACCTGAGACATGAGTTTCTAGCTCTTTCTGCGGGGAGTGCATTCTGATAGATTCTATTCCATCTAATTGTAATAAAATGCTCTTGACTTCACAACCTACTGATGGGTCAGAAGCCCCAATTTACAATAGTGGCCCAAGGTTCCAATGTCCGCGACTCTCCTGGAAGGGAGGCAGTCGCCTCGAAGGAATGGCCTTCCCTGGCGGATAGGGGAAGGCGTGGAAGCGCGAGCTCCCAGATCTGTGGGGTGCCTGGCAGCCAGGGCAGTTGGGAAAGGGCTAGGTTCGAAGTCAGAAACTTGGATTTGGGGGTCAGGCTCCACTATATGGCAGCTTTAGGACAGTCTTAGGCAAGTCATTCAGTTATCTGGGCCTCAGTGCCCCCCATCTGTAAACGCTTCCCTCATACCATCTGGTATGAGGATCTAGTCTGTTTGAAGGAGTTCTGCAACGCCTGGCATCCCGTAAAGATACGGATCAGGAAGGGGCTGATGGCTCAATCTTGCCTCTCAGAGGAAGGAGGGGGAGTGGGCGTGGCTTTGCGGGGTGGGCGTGGCCGGAGCTGGAGGTGAGCAGGACCAGGGTGGAGACCACCCCAGGGCCGGAGGGCATGGGCGGGGCTGAGGATTTGATGGTTTAGGATTTGTTGGGCTTGATCCAGGAAAGAGCCCCAGCATCTTCATCCTGGCTTACGCCTTCTTAGGCTCTGTGGAGGCCCTGCACGAAGTTCTGCAGCTGCCCGCCACCCTGCGTGCCTGCCCGCCCCTGCGCACGGCCCTTGCCGTCGACGCCGCCTTTCGCGAGGGCAACACTGCCCGTCTGTTTCGACTGCTCCGGACCCTGTCCTACTTGGCAAGCTGCGCTGTGCATGGCCACGTGGCCCATGCCCGCCGCGGAGCCCTGGCCCGCCTCGCTCGCGCCCTGAGCACCCCTAAGGGCCAGACCTTGCCCCTGGACTTCCTGGTGCACCTGCTGGCCCTGGACGGACCCAAGGAGGCACGGGACCTGTGCCAGGCACATGGGCTGCCCTTGGACGGGGAGGAGGGAGTCATGTTCCTGAGGGGTCTCTACAGGGAGGAGGGGCTACCACATGCAGGGACCTGCAACTTGTTGGTGGACAGCAAACTTCGAGGGCGCACCCTGGAGGAGGTGGTCATGGCAGAGGAGGAAGATGAGGTAGTGGACAGACCCGAATCCCAAGCATGAGGAAGGGCTGCGCAGTCCCCAGAGCCCCAGGACTGGGGCAGAGCACTTAGGATTCTTTATCTGTGTGATTCCCACCCAATAAAAGGGACTTGTTTCATCATGGCCAATAGCTAAGCTTGATTTATTTGGAGGAGGGCAGGAGAAAGTTGAGACATGCTAAGGGTGTAGGGGAAGAGGAACCCAGGCTGGGCAAGTCCCTATCCACCCTGGGCCTCAGTTTCCCCACTGGTCCTTAAGGGGTGGCCTTGGTGATCTCAGGGTTGGCATCATATGTCCCACCCTCATCCACCCACCGCCAAGAGCACCTGCCCTGTCTGATGCCCTCCACCCTCCGCCAACTAAGAGCCAGGATGGGGGAGACTTTCACCCGGGGCTTGTTGTTCCCCTTGGGTCTCCACAACCTGCCTCAGAAGCTTGCGAGCATCCTAGGGTCATGCCGGCTCCTCGGATCGGGAGAGACGGGGACATACCCCAGGAAGGCTGGAAGAGGGAGGGCTAGGGCAAAGGGTGTTGGGGGGAGCTGAATGAAGAGGGCTGGTGTCAGAGGTCAGCCACAGGCCTCAGGGTGGCTGCTGCGCCCTCCAGGGCCGTCACCACGATGCTGAGCTGCTGCTGCACCTCAGCCCAGGCTGCAGATCCTGGAGCTGTGTTGTTGGCCCTGGAGCAGGCATTGGCCAGGCCTGGGAATGTGGCCACTCCTCCCGTGCGGGGTGCCCAGAGCACATGGCTGACAGGAGAAATGGGGAGGATCAGGGTCAGCGGGGGCCAGGAAACGGGATGCCTCAGCCTGGAACAGGCTCAGCTTCTGTGCCCAGCTAGGAGCAAAGCACCCCCTCCACACACACACACACCACCTGTGTCTGAAAGCTGGGGCTGTTACGGCCATGGAGGTGGGAGGAGAGGTAGGTTCTAGTCCCTGCTCACAGGGAGACCTTATGGTTTGCTTCCCCTCCCGGAGCTTCCAGTTCTTCAACTGTCTCAAGAGGCTGGGCATGCTCTAAAGTCTGGAGCAGTTCTGACATCCTCCTTCCCCTCCCTTGTCTGACTCCCACTGGCCATTGCCCTGTCCCACCCGGGCACCTCCCACGGGCTTTGGGACAGGCTCACCTGTAGTAGCGTTCCTCTGGGAAGGCTCGAGGGTTCAGAAAGGCCCGTTCTAAGAGCATCAGTTGGTCGTTAAACATCCGGACCTGCAGGGGGCTAGGGAAGGTGGGTCCTGCCAGTCACCCTGGAGCCAGCAGCAGCCAGGGTGCCCTGCCCTGGACGACCCCCTCCCGGACACCCACCCGCTGCCCTTGCTCACTCGGGGCTGCCCTCCTTCAGTGCTAGCATGCGTTGGTTCAGAGCTGCAGCTGCCTCCTCAAACTTCTCGACCGCGCTCACCAGGGGCCCTGTGGGGAACAGCCAGCAGCTTAGGTCTGGGGGGTGCATGGTTTCCCACGCCTCCGTGTGAGGGGTTTCCTACCCAGGTCGATGTTGTGCTGCTCCAGCAGGGCCCTGAGGTCCTGCTGGGCAGCCTGCAGGAAGCTGCGGAGGGTCTCGCTGTAGTCGCTGACGTTGAGAGGCAGGAAGAGGCTGTCACTGAGCCGGAGCAGCACGCTGCCTGCTGTCTGGCCCACCGCCCGGTGGCAGCCGAAACCTGCAGGGAGGGCCACAAGGTCAGGACTCAGCACATGCTCCTCCAGCCCCAGGAGGCCCCTTGCCTCTCTTCTCACCAGGGTCCACGAACTTCTGCACATAATCGAAGGTGTCGAAGGCTGTGTGGTAGGTGGGGTAGATCCGGGCGGAGGTCTTGCTCTGGGGGAAGAAGGCCCAGAGGGCACAGCTTGGGAAGGGAAGTGGGAGGAGGCATACCTACAGTGAGCTACAGTGTATGGGCATTATTCGGTTAAATCCTCGAGCATCCGTTTGGTAGGTTGTGGAATTCCCACTTTACAAAGGAGGAAACAGGCTCAGAGGGGGATAAGTAAATAACCTGTCTGACGTCACACAACTAATGAATGGCAGAGCTGGGCCCGGTGCCAATTTCACGTGAAGGAAAGAGCCTGGGCTTTGGAGTCAGACAAGGGGCTTCAGATCCCAGGTCCACACCCAGGAGCTGTGTGGCCAGGAAGAGTGAAGGAGTCGGGAACAGGGAGACCCAGGCCGGGCCCCCTGCCTCCCTTATCTCATTTCACCCTCACCCCAGCACTGTAAGTCATCATCGTCTTATACCATTATTTCAGCGATTCTGAGATACAGGCTTTCACATGCAAAGATCTCTGAAATCAGGATCTTTTTACGGTCACTGTCAACCTGCAAGGAATTGGCAGCTTTTTTTTTTTGTTTTAGAATAGTGCACAAAATAAGGGTGCAGCTTATAACCGGTGGTATCTTAAACTTGATAACATAGATGGGCATAAACATGCTCAGAGAGGTTAAGAAACTTGGCTGAGGTAACACAGCTACTGAGTGATGGAGCTGGATTCAGTCTGCATCAGAGCAGCTGAAGGAGGGATGGTATGGGGCAGGGGATGGAGGGGTACCCACTCACTGTGTCATAGGTGTAGGCAATGTCTATGGAGGAGATGCCCAGGAAGTGAAGGAAGGGTGCATAGTCGCTGCCGGCACCCAGAGGGGTCAACCTGCAGAGAGCAAGAGGGTTGAGTTGGAGGGCGCTGGGCCGGCAGTGTGCCTGCGACCCCCATTCTGTCCCTGGGTTCACCTGGGGACCACGCCATACACCGAGCTGCTGCGGTTCAGGTGCCGGATCCAGTTGCCATAGATGGTGAGCCCTCCAAGGCCTGGGGCGGGGATCTGGCCAGAGCAGAGTCCAGCCTCAGGTGGGGGCCCATGGCGCCCTGCCTCAGCCCCAACTACAAGGCCCACTCCACCCCAGTCTCCAGTCCTCCCTGAGTCCAGCCCCAAACCCATTGCCGTCCAGTTGATTCTGATTCATAGAGACCCTATAGGGGAGAGTAGAACTGCCCCATAGGGTTTCCAAGGCTGTAAATCTTTACAGAAGCAGACTGCCACATCTTTCTCCTGCGAAACGGTGGGTTGGAACCACCCACCTTTTGGTTAGCAGCCAAGTGCTAACCACTGCACCACCAAGGCCACCTTACTAGTTCAGCCCGCCTGCCCATCTAGTCCCACCCTAGCCTACCCTTAGGCCTGCCCCTTTCCACCTGTTTGGTCGAAGAGAAGATGACGCTCTGGACTGGAGGCGTCCCATGCACCCTCAGGGTGGCGTTGGCTGTGGGAAGAGCAGAGAAAAACTATTCGGGCCCAGCCCCCTCCTTTACTCCCCTACCCCCACCCCGGTCAGCCCCGGCCCCCATACCAAACACCGAGATGTCTACGTTGATGTAGGCCACAGTGCGCTCCTGCAGCTTACTGAAAAATTCCTAATGGTGGGAGCAGCCGCGTCAGCCCAGACTCCCTGCCCTGGGAGCCCCCTTCGACCCCCACCCTGTGAGGCCCACTCACCTCCGTGAATTCTGTGGAGCCAATGAGCCCAAACTCCTCGGCCCCCCAGCTGGCTAACACGATTGATCTGCGGGGACGCCAGGTGCCTAGAGGGGGACAAAGGCTGGAGGGCAGGGTCCCCTGATCCTGGGGTGGCTTAGGGGAAAGATCGGGGCACACTGAGGAGGGGAGGACTGAGAGGGGCAGGGCAGCCAGTGACTGAGCCAGGCCTCTCATTTTTCCAGCCTCCCTCCTCTGCTGTGACCACCCCCCGCAACACACGCTCTCCTCCCAACACCAGCCTCCCTTCTGCAGAACCGTTCTGCCTCCCCTCTTCTCTGCCCCTACGCTTTGGGAAGACTGCTGATCTGCCACCCCACTCCCCTCCTTGCAGCCTAGCCAAACCTCACCCATAACTTTCTTCATGGGTTGATAATACAGTAATGGGCTGCTTAGGGCTTCACCCATATCAAGTCAATCCTCAACATCCCCTGGAGAGAGGGACTATTCTTGTTTCCATTTGACAGTTGAGGAAACTGGGCCAAGTTAAATGATGTGCTGAGTGAGCGTCACACAGCTCTAAGCAGTGGGGCCAGAGCTCACAACTAGGCATCTGTTTCTAGTGTCCCTGGGCCTAAGCACTGACCCATACTGCCTCTCACAGCATCCTGCAGCTTGCCTTCTGGCTCTAGTCTGTGCTGACACTGCTCTTGCCATGGTCACCAGCCACCTCCAAGAGGCCCCGGTGGGTCGGTGGGTCGGGGCTTGCCCCTCTCACAGCTGGGTCCAGCTGCTCCCGCCTCCTCCAGACTCTGCCCTCGCCCTCCGCTGCAAGCGGGCGCCTGGTTTTGCTCCCACCCCTGGCTGCAACTCAGTCTCCTTGACTTCCTTATTCTTCTGTTTTAAATAACTTTTAAAAGACGATTAAATGATTACATACAACTACAAATTCCCACACTTACTCCTGCCAAAGATGCATAACCTGAATCTGATCACGGAAGCATCACACAGACTCAAATCGAGGGACATTCTACAAGATAATGTCAGGTCTGGGAGAGACAACGACTAAAGAACTATTACAGACTGAAGCAGACTGAGGAGACATGCAGTGTGTGACCCTGGATTGGATCCCCAACCATATATATATATATTTTTTTTTTCTATTGCTATAAAGATCATTATAGGAACAATTGGCAAAATTGTTTGATTTCCTGACTTTGATCACTGCACTGTGGTTATGAAAGAAAATGTCCTTATTTTTAGGAAATATACAGTGATGTGTTTCGGGGTAAAGGTGGAGCTCTTCTGCAACTTTCAAATATTTCAGAAATATATATATAGACATATTTCTATATACATAGATGATAGAGAAAAGGCAAATAGAGTAGAAACTTTAGTAGTCATCTAGAGTATCTGGATGAAAGGTATGTGTGGATTCTTTGTATTGTTTTTACAACTTTTCTAATTGTGACATTACTTCAAAATAAAATGTTTTCTTTTAAAAAGACAGAAATCCCAGCACTAGCAAAGGGTAAAGTCAAAAGCCCAGCCTCTCTGCAGGCTGACTCCCCATCCTGCCCCGACGAAGACCCTTTCAGTGGATCTCAGCCACACCTGTGGTTGCATGTACCATCCATGTCACCAGCTCCCCAGTTTATGTCTCAGATCTCTTTTCTGATCTGGAGCCAACACATGAAGAACAAAATTCCTGTTCTTCCTCCCAGACCTGTCCTATTAGACCCCATTTTATTTCTCATAAACAGCACCTCCATATACCAAATTGCTCAGACTGGAAACCGGAAATCCACCAGCCCTGCAGTCCTCCTCTCCCTCACCTTCCTAGCCGGCAGACCCCAAGACTTCTCAGACCCTCCCCGCTGCCCCCAGCCTGGTCCAAGCCCCACAGTCCCTCCTGGCCTGGATGACAGTAGTGACCTCTCACTGGTCCCTCCACACAGGCCGTGCCTCCCCATCCCCTTCCCTACTTGGCAGCACTTTAAAATCTGGACTTGATCTTGACACTCTTCTGATTAAAACCCTTCTGCAGCGTAGTAGACAGGATAATGCTCCCTCCCTGTCCCCGCCACGATGTCCATGTCCTAGTCCCTGGAACATCAGAATATGTTAGGTTCCAGGCAAAGGGGACTTAAGGTTGCAGATGTAATTGAGGTTTCTAACCAGCTGACCTTAAATAGGGAGATTATCCAGGTGGGTCCCAATGTAATTAAGGATCCTTAAATGTGGACGAGGGAGGCAGAAGAGGAGTCAGTCAGAGGGAGCTGTGACTACAGAAGAAAGGCACAGAGAGGTACAACGTTGCTGGCTCTGAAGGTGGAGGAAGGGGCCGTGAGCCAAGGAGGGTGGACTCTGGAAGCTGGAAAGGGCACGAAACAGATTCTCCCCAGGGCTTTCAGAAGGGAAGGCAGCCCTGCTGCCACCTTGATTTTGGCCCAGTGAGCCTCTCATTGGACTTCTAACCTCCTGACTGTAAGATAATAAATGTGTGTTGTTAGAAGACACGAAATTTGTGGTAGTTTGTTACAGCAGCAATAGAAAACTAAGTGGCTTCCTACTGCCCTCAGGCCAAACTCCAAATTCCAAACCCACTCTCCTGCCTGCTCTGCCACCTCATCGGGCCACATCGGCCTCCCTTCCACCTGCACCCTCCTTCCCACACCCGGAGCTTCCTTCTCGCATCCTTCCCTGAAGCGCTCAACTACTGTCTTCACAAAGGCCTTCCCCAAGTTGACTAGCACCTTAGATGTGTTTTCTTTACAGCATGTATCACAGTTGTCATTACGTGCAGGGACCCTGGGGTGTCCACTGTGGGGTCTCTGGTGCCTGGAGCTGGCCTGGCACATAGTAGCACATGAGACATTATTTGTTGAGTTCGTGATTGTCTGTTGTCCCCAGCTGGGCTGCAGTTCCCTGAGGGCAGAGGCTGGGCAGTGCCTTGGTGACCGAAGCACCCGGGCTTAGTTCCATTCCATTCCCTATCCCACATAGAGTTACTCAGGCCAGGGCTGGTGTCCCATGCCTCTGCCCCCAGGGCCCGTCAGGCTTGGCACAAGTAGGCCTTGAAGAATGAGGGAGGAGGCAGGACTGGATGCCCATGGGCTCAAGAAGGACTGAGTTGGAAGTGACCCCTTGGTGGGGAGAGGCCCTGGACTGGGGGAGGGGCTCACCCTTCTTCAGCAGGGTCCCCAGGACGCGGGACAGCTCCAGGAGGACAGCAGTGCCGCTGCTGGGATCCACAGCCCCATGCACCCAGCTGTCCCGGTGGTTTCCATACAGCACGTAGCGGTCTGGCCGAGGAGCAGCAGAGAGTCAGAGAACCAGGGGAGAAGGAGGGGTGGGGGAGGAGTCAGAGCAGCGAGGAGGTGCTCACCAGGCTCCACAGCCCCGCGGATGATCCCCAGGACGTTGGAGGAGTTCCGAAGCTCCAGGCGGTTGTACACACTCATGTTCACCTGGCTGGGGAAGTGGGGGTGTGTGTCAAGGGTCTTGGCCCTGCACTCTCCCTCACCAAACCCAGGAGAAACAGGGGCCAGAGAGGGAAAGGAGTGGCAGTGAGCCTAGAGCCCAGGTCTTCTGACTCCAACTCTCCTTTCATACTTTCCTCACTCACTCAGTAAATACTTAGTGGGCACTTAGTGTATGCCCGTGCCATACTAGTCTCTGGGCAAAGAACAGGCAGGAAGTGAACAAGTGCCGGAAAAAAGGGGCTGGGAGTCACTAACATGTGAGATGGCCCTGGCAGCCAGGGGACCCTGTAGGGAGGGAAGCCAGGGCCGGTCGCCAGGTGAGGCAGGAGCCAGTGTGGGGAAGGGTGTTCCCAGCAGAAGGAACAGCAAGTGCAGAGGTCCTGATATGGGACTGAGCTTGGCATGTTCAAGAAAGGGGGCGGCGTGGCTGCTGGCAAAGTGTGGGGGTCTGAGATGAGGTGGGGAGGGGCCCCACAAGGCCTTGTAGGCTCCCCATCTGTTTCACTGGTGAATGTTTTTTGGCTGGGGGGAGGGGACTTGAGGGAGAAGAACTGGAAAGGCCAGACCATAAAGTGGGAAGATGGAAAGTCCAGGGTGGGGGGAGAATAACAAGGGGAGAGGAGAGCTGGGGAAGTGGGTCCCACTCACCTGTCTGCCTGGAAGTCCCCATCAGCCTGGAAGCCAGGCCCCAATCTGTAGTCACAGCCCAGGGCTCCCTGCCAGGTGACCGGTGCCAAGTTTCCCTTGAGGTTACTGAGGAGCAGGGGGGCCTTCAGGGTGGGTGTGGAGGTTAAAGTTTGGGGGCTATTGTGGGGTGGGAGGGGCCCCCAGGGCACAAGCTCACCAGAGTAGGACTTTTGCATCCTCGAAGCCAATGGGCTGGGAGGGAATTGGGGGAAATCCAGGGGCAGAGGCAGGGTCCAGGCGGAAGGAGGAGTGGGTGGCCGGAAGGTAGGGAGTCAGGGGGTCGCCAAAGTATGCAAAGTAGGAGCCTCGCTCTACCCCCGAGGGAGGCAGCTTCCATGAGTAGGGGAAAGTCTCGTTGGGCAAGCTCTGGCCGTCGTTGATGTCGGCGGGGTCCGTGTACACTAGCAGCCCGGCCACCCCATAACTGGCTGCGTTCACTGCCTGCAGGGGGCAGAGGAGGCCGGGGCTTGGGGCACTTCCTGCTCCTCTCCCTCCCTCCCTCCCAGGGACAGCTCTATCTTCCCAGGCAAGATGGCAACTGCACAAGGCCTGTATTGCCCTGCTGCTTTGTAAAGGCAGAGACCTTTAACACGCCAGATGTGTGCCAGTGGGTCTGATTAGACCACGGACATCACCCAGCAGCAGCCACATGAAGTGACAGGGACGCGGTGTCTGTACATACTGATCCAGAATGATGGGCAGGATGAGCTAGAGTGAAAAAGCATGGCTCAGAACAGTGCGTCTAGTATTCGACATTTATGTCAAAAGCAGGGGGTGGGGAGGAATAAGAATCCATGTTTGCATATGCTTCTCCCATAAGAATACTCTGGGTAGATAGCCCAGAAACTAATAAAAGTTGTTACCTCTTTGAAAAATGTGGCTAGAGGAAGAGTTTTTTTCACTCTATCCCCTTTTTATAAGGAGCCCTGTTGGTGTAACTGCCAACCAAAAGGGACGCCACCCAGTAGCTCCAAGAGAGACGGACCTGGCAATCTGTTTAGTAAAGATTACAGCCAAGAAAACTCTATGGGGTAGTTCTACTTTGCAGACCATCCTGAAGCTGGAAGTTGCTCCATGTGAGGGCGGCGGGTAGCAGCTGTTCCCATCTGCCTGGGGTCTTTAGGAGTTGGAATCAAGTCAACAGCACCCAACAACAACATACCTTTTCATATTAAAAATTTCTTTTGAACCATAGACATGTAAAATCTAGTCTAAATTTTTAATTGAAAAAAAACAGAGGGGGCAACAGGAGGGATTTAAGTTGAATATTCAAAAGAACTACTTCACAGGAAGACTTAGCCCAATCCCTTTATTTCCTAAAGCTCAGAGAAGTTAGGGAAGGTACCCAAGGTCACACAGCAAGTCAGTGGCACATCGTGAATACCAATTGCCGTCAAGTTGATTCTGGCTCATAGTGACCCCATGCGTGTCAGAGTAGACATACTCCATTGGGCTTTCAGTGGCTACTTTTTCAAATCACCAGGCCTTTCTTCCAAGGCACCTCTGGGTGAACTTGAACCCCCAACCTTTTGGTTAGTAGTCAAGTGCTTAACTGTTTGTGCCACCCAGGGACTCAGAGCTCAGCTTTTCTGTACCTGCCCCCCACCTCCAGCCCAGGGTGCAGCCCACCACTCAACACTTCTCTTTCCCCTTCCCCTTCCCCTCTCTGTGGCCAGCCTCTATCCCCAGCCCAGGCCCCCTGCATTGACGGCTATGCTCACCTTTGCCCCGCGCCCTACACCCCCGTAGCGGGTCAGGGCAATGGTGCCGTTGAGCTCGATGCCCTGAGTCCGTAGCTCCTTAAAGTCTTCTTCTGAGCCCCGGTTGGCATAGACGAGGTGGCCCTAGGGGCAAGGGAAGGTGATCCTCAGAGCGGGGCCAGAGGAAGGACAGGATGGGGCAAGGAGAGGAGAGGGAAGGCTGGGTGGTAGGATGAAGGGTTTAGATTCTGTTTCTCTCCCAAGCTTGTAAGCTCCCTGAGGGCAGTCACACCAGATTTCTTTCTTCTGTGTCCAGGTGCCTATATCAGGCCTGGCCTTGAGCAGGAGCCATTAGTGTTTGTTGAATGACTAAGTGATGGAGGAACGTAGTGAGGGGGTGTAGAGGCGAGTCATTCTGAATGCTGAACCCCAATTGAGGTGCTTTTCCTTGATGCCGCTGGGGCAGAGTGGGGAGGCTGGGGGTGGGGAGCAAGGGGGAGCTGGGCCCTGGCAGAGGGGAGAGGCTAGTCCAGCCTACCTGCGGGGTCCCAGGGGGAGCATAGGCGGCATACGGTGGTACCACATCGGGCCCCCCCTGCTCGCCAGTGAGGTTCTCCTCAGTCCGGCGGCAGGAGAAAAGGACGGTCCCGGGGGAGTTCACTGGGCGGGGGGGCGGGGGACAGCATCAGGGCTGGTCCAGCAGCCCCCCACCCCCACCCCACAGGCACTACCAAGCCTGGGCAGGACCTCACCCACAACCACACGGTTGGGCTGCTCCTGGCTGGGGAAAGACAGCAGCACCTCGTACGTGGAGGCCTCGGCCGCGTCCAGGCCCGACTCTGGGTCCCTCCAGCGCTGCAGCAGCAGCTGGACCAGGGCCTCATCCTGGGGAGTGGAAGCCAGGTGCGGCTCCCTGGAGAGTTCTCTGCAGGTGGGCACATGGAGGGGCAGCGGCAGTGTCAGGGAAGGGCCTCTGGCAGACAGGGGGCGGCCAGACAGGTCTCTCACCTCAGGTTCTCCTGGATCCTGCTGGCCTCCAGCTGTCCTATGACACTGTTCAGAATCTCCAGGTCCAGGTCCTGGAGGACCACTGGGTCAGCCCCTTTGGGGATGGCAGAGTGGCCCAGGATGATCCCCAGCGCCAAGACGGCGGCAGCCCCCACCACCACCCCCAGCACCTTCGCCCACTGCATCCTATGGAGTCTGGGCCAGCTAGGGTGGCCCTGGTCGAAGCGCCTTCTAGATAGGGTATCGGACTTGTTAACTATTACCCCATGGGTGGCATCGCCCTTTGGCCCTCAGCCAGGAGGGAAAGTGCAGACCATCCTGAAGCTGGAAGTTGCTCCATGTGAGGGCGGCGGGTAGCAGCTGTTCCCATCTGCCTCAGTTCCCACATCACTTACCCAGAAAGGACCTCCAGCGGTATCACGCCCACACAGGGATGCTGAGACCCAGAGGGTAAGGCGAGGTCTCACCCAGGGTCTCCCAGTAGGACAGAGGCCATGCCAGACCTGGAACTCTGAGCTCCTGTGTCCACAGCAGGGCTGAGCTTCTGCCCGCCATCACTGCCTTTGTCCCCCTCGGTTTCGTTTCATCAGCTCTGCCTGCCTTGGCAGGTTTCGAGTCCTAATTCCATCCTGTCTCAATGTAAGCTGTGTGGCCTTGGGCAATTGACTTAGGCTCTCTGAGCCTATTTTCTTAGTTGTGAAATGGGGTTAATAGAACCTACTTCCAAAAAATGTTGTGATGTTGTCATTAAACAAGATAGCATCTGTAAAAACGTCTAGCCCAATGTCTGGCATACAGTGTGAGCTTGGTAGATTTTAGTCACCCCTCCTTCATCTGACTCCCTAAAACTCAAAGCCAAGAGCAAAAGGAAGGACCCAGAAGAATTCTTTCTTTGTATCCTGTAGGGGCTCTCACGTATGGGAGGAGGTGGAACTCTTGGAAAGGGAAGCTGCTTCAGAGGACAGTGACAGAAGCTCATGCTTTCCTTGGCAAGATGACTTCCTTCTCCATCCCCGGTCCTATGGAATTCATCCATCCGTCCGTCCATCCACCCATCCATTTATTCACCCATCCATCTATACATTTATTCACTCCTTCACATATACACGCAAGCATCATTCATTCATTCAGCTCTATGTGAGATCCGTGCTAGACCCTGGGGAAGCAAAGGTGCCCAGGAACTCAAGCCCAGCAGGGGAGACAGACAGGCTTTGAGTTCAAAGAAGTGGTAATTGCCCCTATAATGAAGACCAGAGTGCCCCCAATGAGGAGAATGAGGAATTCTGTCTAGGGGGGACATCTGAGAGGATCCTCCAAGGATGAGGAGGCATTCAGCATGCAGAGCAGGCATCCGTGCAGAGGGCCCAGCATGGGCAAAGGTGAAGAGGGAAAGTGAGACCACAAGGGAATCTCCAAGCACTGAGCCGCTTCCAGACCTCAAGACTGAGAGGTTCCCCAGGGCTCCTCCCACCCGCCATGGCCATCCTGCCTTGGGACTCTGACCAGCCAGGCTGTAGCCCATTGACCAGCCCAAAGATGCCTGAGGAGCTGAGGGAGCTGGGCCATGGTGTAGTGTGTGTGTGTGTGTGTGTGTGTGTGTTTGTGTGTGTGTGTGTGTGATTTCTCAGGCTGCCTCTCAGAGCAGGCCCCCTTCCTGCTCACAGGCCCATTTTGCTGGTACCACCGCTCACCCACTCCATGCCCATCTCCTCTATGCTGCTGGTCGGAGGGTGAGCGTGGGAGGACGGGGTGGGGGGGATGTGATCAGTGTCTTCAGGGAGGGGCACCAGGAAGCTGCCCTTCTTGGCCAGGTGATTATCAGTGCCCAGAATATGACCTTGGATCTTATCAGAAGCCCATCAGTGCAGCGACAGCTCACATTCCTTGGAGAACACGGAAGGACAGTCACCACCAGGCAGGCAAAGGGATGCCAAGGTCAGCTGATAAGCTGAGCCCCACCCCATCCTGGAATGATTTAGCCGTGACTCCTAGACGTGAAGTGGGTGATATCTGAGTGGGCGAGTCCTCTGTGAGTGTGGCTTATGTCTGAGAGGGTGTGAGACACACGAGGAATTGACACAGGCTGTTGGAGTCAGGTGTGTCTACACTGCTGGAGGTACCAGACGCAAACGTGATCAATTTCCTTCCCCATCTCGGTCGGGTGGGGTGGTGGCAGCGGTGTGATCCTTCCCTGAACTTTTGGTGTGAATGTGGGGATAGAACTCACCAAAGATGGCTACAGGGTGTGACCACCTTCCACCTTCCCAGTTTACTCTGACTCCAGGAGTTGGTCAGTCTCTGCAGGACCACCAATCCTTTGGTGCCGCCTCCTTTCCACTGCCCCTCACCTCCCTCTTGTAAACCCTCTCAGCTCCCTTGACTCTGCTTTGCTCCCAGTCACCTAGTTGCATCTGACTCTCTGCCTCCTCTGTGCCTGCACCTGCCTGGCACCTGCATGTGCCTGGAGAGTCACGTGACCTGGCTGGTCTCGCTTCACATTTGTGATCACACACCCGAGTCCTGCCCCCAGGACTGCCTGGCACTCCACTATCTTTCCCTGGCCCACTCTCTTCCACGCTCCTAGACAACTATCTCAGACCCTCTTCTCTCTTCTCAAGGACGCCGAGTGGCGCAGTGGTTAAGCGCTTGGCTGCTAACCAAAAGGTCAGTGGTTCAAACCCACCAGCCATTCCATGGGAAAGAGACCTGGCGATCTGCTCCGGTAAAGATTACAACCTCGAAAACCCTCTGGGGCAGTTCTACTCTGTCCTATAGTGTTGCTATGAGCCAGAACTGACTCCACGGCAATGGGTTTGGGTTTTTTTTTCTCTCTTCTCAAGCCCCTGACACGTTCTCCCCAACCCTTGCTCTCAACTGACAACTATGCTTCCTATTTCACTGAGAAAACCAACCCCTGCCCATCTCCCCGTCCCTCTCTCCAGTTACTGTGGGTGAACTGCCCACGCCCCATCGAAGGCCCACCTCTGCCCTGGTGCACTGGGGCCCAGCCCCTCAACTACTCAAGGACGCGGCTCCAGCGAGTCTCTCTCCTACCCATCTTTTTCTTGAGTGGATCATTTCCACCTGCCTATGAGCGCCTCTGAATTATGGTGTTGGCGAAGAATACTGAATATACCATGGACTGCCAGAAGAATGAACTAATCTGTCTTGGAAGAAGTACAGCCAGAATGCTGGTTAGAAGCAAGGACGGCGAGACTGTCTCACATACTTTGGACACGTTATGAGGAGGGACCAGTCCCTGGAGAAGGACATCATGCTTGGTAAAGTAGAGGGTCAGTGAAAGAGAGGAAGACCCTCAATGAGATGGACTGACACAGTGGCTGCTACAATGGGCTCAAGCATAACGATTGTGAGGATGGCGCAGGACAGGACGATGTTTCGTTCTGTTGTACGTAGGGTCACTATGAGTGGGAGCTGACTCAACAGCACCTAAAAACAAGCTCCCATTAAGTTCTCCCATCTTGAAAATATCTCTTCATTCTTCTTGCTCCTCCACTTGGAGGGTTTAGCAACTCAGAGGAAATGGACCTTTTCAAGTGCAGTTAGACCGGCTTGGTTGAGATTGCTGGGAGTCCCAGGCACTCAAACCTGCTTCTCTTGGGCCCTGAAGCCAGGTCTGAGCTGGGTAGGTCCACTGGGGATCACATGATCATTGGCCAGAAAGTTGGTACCACTGGGACGCAGGGCCTGATGGCAGGGGCCAGGAGAGCAGGGCACAGCTCATGACCTCTCTGGTAGCACACTTCGAGTAGCAGTTCTGGGGGAACGTGTGTGCGCGTGTGTGTGTGAATTGAAAGACCTTGTAGTGCCTTGGGGCCCACGCTGCCTTGCTGTGGGACCTCCCCTTCAAAGGGCCCGCTGGGCGGGGGCTGCTGTACTACTAGTACCACTGAACCCAGGACGGCTGCAATTCCAGGGCCCTGGGCTACAGGACGGTGGCCAGGATGTATCTGGGACATCTGTAAGCACTTCTGTGGTTCAGAGGTATCTGGGGAGCGGGCTCTGTAATACACTTGATTCCTGCAGCCAAGCAGTTTTCATGTAGCCATACTTGCTTTTCCAGGCTGAGGTGCTGGAGGTTTTCGGAGGAAGCAGGCTCAGACAGGACCATGCTGATACCTGTATCTTGCTGATTTGTTGTTGTTGGTTGCCGTGAAGTCTATTCTGACTCATGGAGACCTCCCGTAGACAGAGCAGAACTGTGCTCCATGGGGTTTTCAAGGCTGTGACCTTTCAGAAGCAGATCACCAGGCCTATCTTCCAAGGTGACTGAGTGGGTTCAAACCATGAACTTTTTGGCTAGCAGTGGAGTGCTTAACCATTTGTGCCACCCGGGGACTCTGAAGCAAATAGTGGAGCATATATTGTACACTGCTGCATTGACAAAGTCCCAGATTATCACAGGACAGTCATTTCTACTCTGTAACACATAGAGTCGCCATGAGTTGGACTTGATGGCAGAGGATTTGTTTGTTTGTTTGTTTTTAAAGGTTATGGGGAGTCCCTGGGTAGTACAAACGGTTAACATGCTTAGCTAAAGGTGGAAGGTTCAAATCCACCTCGAGGCCCTCGGAAGAAAGGCCTGGCCATCTACTCCCCAAAAATCAGCCAATGAAAACCCCATGGAGCATAGTTCTACTCTGACGTGCATGGAGTTGCTATGAGTCCAAATCCATTCAATGGCAACTGGTTATTGGGCTTTTTTAAAAATTGCCCTATAGGATAAGCAATTTTTTTAATCTAATTTAGCAATCTCAATTCTTTTTCCCCCCATTGACTATATGTGTGTCAGTTTCTTATATCTTTCTTTCTAATGGCTTTGTCCTTTTGCTGGTTCCCTCCTTAATGAGTTAAAAACAACCTGAACCAGGCTCACGCTTAGTATGGGAATTGTTTCTTACAATGAGAGAGACGTATTCAAGGTCACCAGGTGGGTAGTGGCTCTTTCCACCCCTCCCAGTTTCTTTCTGTCCTTTGGAATGGGACCAGCTGCATTTGATCCTCTGCTTTGATCCTCTGGGGAGGGGGCACCCCCCACCTTCCAGCCCCATCCTAGTGCTTCGCTTATCAGGGGACATTGCCCGGGAGTGCTCCTCTCCCAGGTGACATCAACTTGACCTGGAACCTCCTCTGGGGGAGGGGGTGGCAGAGCCGTGGGGCACGG